TAGGTCGATTAGTGAGAAAGGGTAGATGCGACAGATAAGTCAATATCACGAAGTCGAAGGAAAATTTTTTAGGAGTTAATATAACTTCTAAAAAACGGCCCGTTAACGTTCTCAAAACAACAAAAAAAACGGCCAGTAAACGGCCAATAAACAGCCAGTAAATGGTAAGAAAACGTTTAGAAAACGATCCGTAAACGGTGAAAAAACGATTTATTTAAGACCCTAAAACGTTACGAGTTTTAGGTTCTGAAAACGGTCCGTTTACGGCACGTTAACTTACCGTTAACGACCAGTTAACGGGCCGTTAACGGTGCCGTTTTCTTGGACCTGGGTATTTATTGCCCTTTTATTATACTTTTTTACCTGATGATGCTGCCGATTATTACATTGAATAACGTTTTTTGGTGTATACTCTAGTTAACAGGCAAGCTCTATAAAAGTGACTGTATAGATAAATCGCTTTTTATTGTCAGTCTATTTGGACTTTTATGATCTTCGAAATGATAAAATAATGTTGAAAATAATGTTGTAATCTTTATTACTATAACAGTATAATAAAATGACTATATCACTTTAAATGTTCTTTGAAATAGAATTAATTTTCTACAGAGTTAAAAACTATAATGATACTGGAAAAACGGTAGAAATATACGAATACTGTTCGTTTATATTTAGGACTGAGATTGCTGTCTCTGTTTGATCTGCTTGTATAATTATAGACAAACTAATAACCCCTTTAAAAGTTTCCCGCAGTCGAGTAACTTGAAGTATACAGTGCGAAGAAGTAGTTAAAAACCTAGTCAAGCAGCCCATGGTGGAGCTAAAATCTTATATTCGACTAAAGCCTTCCTGAAGAAAGGTTACCGGGTTTCCTGAGCAATGTAAAACGAAATTTTTCTGAGACTGTTTAATGAGACGACCGTTTCAATTCTCTTTCACAATTTTTGATGAACTATTATACCACTTTCCTGAAATTATGTGAATGAATTCCATAGAAATGTCGCCTTGCAGCAGGGACATTACAGACAAGACTTTTGGTGTCTTTTGGTTCATCTAAATCTGCGAGACGTAACAGCCTACTGGGATGAAAAAATAGGCGTAGGAGTAGGATTTCGAAGTCCTTTATGGTAGGGTTTACATTAAAAAGTACGATAAATTTAAATGAGGATGCGTGAAACAACGCTAGAAAACACATGTGCTTGTTTTCACGTTGGCAGAAGAAGATCACCTGCCGGATTTCATGTACTCTTGTTATTTTCAGTGGATAGATAAATTAAAAATCTTCGTTAATTTACACGATTTTAATATTCCAGTACAAACGCTAAAATAAACAAAAAGGTACAAACAGCTGGAAACTGTAACTACTCTACTGGTGTATTTAAGATATGCTTAAAAAGTTTTAACGACAAGAGAGCCTTGAAAAGCAATCGAGCATTTTTTCTTAACTAGTCCCATGTCTCAGAGTTGGAACGGTTTGAAAAAACGCAATCGAATCTGATCGGTCGGTTGAAAAGCTACGTCGGATCGACCGTTAACGAAAAAAGTTTTTCTAAATCGGTGAAAACCGGTCTAAAAAAGTTTGATTATTTTCTAATGATATTTGTTTTTCAGTGGCCTGTGCCACTAAAACACACAGTGTGTCCTTGTAACCATCAGATATGCATAGTCCAACTAAGTATATTTTTGTTCATTTTGCTCTATTTTGTCTGATGGAAATGCCTTTGACGTTGAAATATGACAATGACAATAAGATACTCATATACACACTTTCACAACACGAACAGTTCTGACCGATATAATTCTTTATACTATTTTGTGGACAAAGCAGAAAAAGTAAAGAAAAATGAATAAGTCGTAACTAATTACTATGTGTTCATAAATACATGTATATGCCTAATTACTCGTTGAATGCATGGCTGAATTTTCCTTCAAACCCTTCCTACTTCAAACCCTTCCATAGGTGTTATTAGGGGAAAGTAAAAGTCAGTTTTGTTTCTGCTACTGAAATTCACACAAAAAAAAAGCAAATTTTCTTTTTGAAATTCTTTTTGTTGAAAAAGTGATTTGAAAAGAAGGAAAACCCTAAAAAAGTTTTATAAAGATAAATCGGTAAAAGAACGGTAAAAAACGGCCGATTGAAAAGTTTAATCGGATCGGATCGGGTCGGCCGTTAACGGCCGACCCGATACCGATTTACCGATCCGGTTCCAACTCTGCCATGTCTAGAAGATTACCGTTATTAATTAAAACAATGTTAGTCATTTATTTCTATCCTTCTTGTACTTTATATATTCTTTTGCCATGTAACGTCTGTCGAGAAATAAGAAACACATGGCCATTTTTGATAGAAAGCAATGGAATGCTCCGCCTTTAGCCCTTCGTCGAACTGTGAGTTATTGAAAGTGATGATAAGTTTTGAACATGATTTATTCGATGGAGACCGAGGACAAAGAGTACTTACGACAACCGAAGGATGCAATCAACTGTTATTTAAATTTTTATAATCATGTAAACTTATTAATTATTTAAAGAACGCAACCAAATGCGTTAACTCGTTCTTCTCTATATTCCGAGGGTTTAATTCTTTTATGTAATTGTTCTCGTCTGATCAGATTTAGATGCTACATTCGATCATCTTGTGAACATTTTATCATTAATTCCTCGCCCGCCGTTACTGTTGGATGAGATTATATAAATAAGTTGTATTGGCGGTGATCAGCAACCATTTTAACTGGCAACTGTTTTGTAAAGAATATTATAAAGAATCTTATCCTTCTGCTTAAAGATTATTACTTTCTATTTTGAATATTTTCTACTTCGTTAATTACTAAAGTATTATCGACAAGTTCCTGTTCAGCTTTAAAGGTAATTAAGTTTTAATTATTCTTTTAAATAATTAGAATGTCACCTGTTGCTTCATCATCTGTTACTACCTTGTCTTCTACAGACACTTCATCTCTTCTTTGCGCACCTGGTATAACTTTGTATAATTTGTATTTTGGGCTAGGAAAAACTTTATAATTCAGAAAATTGTTGGAACTGGTATTGTTTGTTGTACGAAAAACAAAAAACCGCTGTGTATTTACGAATCATTTTTTTAAGTAATGAAAAAATGTCATTTAAATGTATCACATGGTGGTAGAACTAAAACTCTAAACGAAATTAATTCGCATTATTCATGGGTACCTAGAGCTGTTGTAGAAATATTCTTAAGGCATTGTCAACTTCGAAAACCATTAAAACAGCCAGTTGTTTCGAAACCTATCATATCATTAGATGTTATGACACGTCTATAAATTGATTTAATAGATATGAGAACAAGACCTGATGTTGTTTCTGTAGACGTTGTTTACTGTTGGATATTACATTGTATTGATCATTTTTCAAAATTCACTTGGGCTTATCCATTAGAAAACAAATCAGCCAAAGAAGTAGTTGTAAAACTTCGTCAGTTATTTTTTACCTTTGGTCCCCCACGTTTATTACATTCAGATAATGGATCAGAATTCGTTGCTAATGTTATTTTAGAACCAAAAACAGTTTTTCCTAATTTGTGCTTTATTCGTGGTCGTCCACGTCATCCACAATCGCAAGGATGCATAGAAAGGGCGAACGGCGTCTTAAGTTTATCTTTAGGAAAGTGGTTACAAACAAATAACACAACACATTGGTCAGAAGGTTTATTGCCTGTAGTTTACGGCATCAATACAAGAACATGTGACACTACTAAAGCCACACCCTACGAAATCATGTTTGGTCAACACCCTCGAGGTGATTCCGAATTTTGGAAAATTGTAAAAGATCAAGATATTGTTGATGAAGAACATTTACCTTCACCGATCGAAAGTATTCAGGATAATGATGTTGATAAAGAAATTTCTGTTAGTACATCTAAGACAATTGATAATATAATTGATAATATTGATCATCAAGAATCTCTTAATTCAAATGTAACATGTTTACCCAGTCCTCTAAATGCTAGCATCTCTCAATCTACTTCTCAATGCCTTCTTGATTTATCACCATCTACTCTGCATGTTTCATTTCAACAACCGTTGATTGTTAATGATAACCCAGTAACAGAAAATCTAATATCTTTTGATTCACCTCCATCTCCTCAACGAGTATCAACAACACTTTTTGACTTACATAATTTAACTTTCAGCCCAGTCACATGTTTAAGTAACAAAAATAACGTAGTACTTTCAGATTTACAGTCAATATCTACAGCACCTGCTACGAATTCTATTTCAAAAACTAATTGTGTTTCTCAACCATCCTCATCTTTTAAAAGCTATAATTCATCAGAAAATAACCCAATAAGACATGAAAGTATTTGGCGCAAAGCGCAAGATAATTATTTAGACACAGCTAATAAACGAAGAAAAGCGTATGATGAACATCTAAGTAATTTGGCAGAAATGTATAAAAAAATGATTGTGTTGGAGTGCGAATTCAAACTGTTGACAGGACAAATACAGATTCAAAAATTTTACCATGCTTAGTTGTTAGTAAAGAAAAGAAAGATGACGATTATGTTTTTTTTTTAGTGTGCCAATTCAGATTCTTGAAAGACAGATTTGGTATAGAAAGTCTTATTGATCTACGAAGTAGCTGTTCTAATGAATTAAAGTCTCTTAATTTATTTGATTTAGAGAAGGAACTGTCTTTGATTGAAGCTTCGAAATTATATGTCCGTGGAGCAATAAATGGAGCTACTTGTGACTGTAAAAGCCAATGTGCCAC